TCTATTGTCACATATTTCACTGCGAATTTGTAAAACCTGTCAACTTCAGTGGTATCTTGAACAGTTTCTCACTGCAAATTCCTCCATGGTCACCTATTTCCCTTTCTACCACTCTTTCCTTCTAGCTTGTTAAAAAACCAGAATAAAGATACCGTGGGGATCTTAGCATGCCTACAATATTTACAGTATTCCAATGCCACCATTTTAGATCTCAGCTAGATGTGGTTGAAAACAGTGTGAGCATATATCACATGTTATAATTTTGGATTGATCTACTAAATACCAAGTTGCCTGCTTTCAGTTTTGAAAACCATAAGCTCTCGTACCCACAGTACCACAGTAGCTGGGTTCACACATGGCATTATACCACCATGCTTGCTTATGAGATGTTACATAGTATGAAGCCAGCCATTCTGTTTTTAGTCATGGTTTATGATTCAGTGCCAATTAAACCCAACCAACCGTGATGTAGTCAATAAGCCATAACTGAAGAAGCTATGGCTTAGCACAATTAAAGAAACAGCTCACTGTGTTTCTTTCTGGTGACTGAATGGCTTTAGAAATTTAAAGTATAAATACACATGCACATAAATGTAAGTATCTTGGTAGTTCTTAACTTCCTATAGCAGAATGCTCCTGTCTGGTATTTTTTCTCACTCCAGGTCTTAACAGCAATGGCTTAATAAACTTTTCCCCAACCTAACTGCCCTCCAGTTGTGCAGGATCTCAACTCCCACCATACTTAGCCTGAATGCCCTTTATAAAACTCTGATATTCTGGTCAGCCTCAGTAATTCAGCCATTCAAAAAAGTATAGTGTACAAGATGCAGTCCTTCCGCCAACACAGGAAGAAATCCTGTCTCCAATCTAGCAGTGAACTGCAAGACATGCTATACTGAGTAAATTTAAGGACCTAGATAGGATGGGGAAAATAATCCTTTTGTCCTACCAAACTGACTTCGTCTACCATGTATGATACCTAAAGCTGAAGAAATAGGTACAGCACATACAAATGTGAGGTTGCCATATCAGTGTAATATTCAGGGTTAGATACTTTCAATTTCCAATTGTTTCCCAAGCCAAGGACTGAAGCAGATGCTGGTGTCAGGCCTCTATCTGCTAAACATTCTAACTCTTGATGCCAAACCCAAGACCTTCTGAAGATCAAGACGCTTTACCTGTGCAACCCACCCACTCTCATTTTATAACCATAAAAACACACCATCAGATACTGCTTGTCTTTGAACAAAGATGCACTGATTTCAATTAACAGAGTCTTCATTTTCATACTGATCCTTCCTTTATCCAGGATTGCTGTTCTAAGTTGTCATTTGGCCATGTAGATGTAAGCTGGACCTTGCACAAAATGTCAATAAAATAGCACCGAATGTTCGAGTGCAGAAAAGGCTATTTAATTCAGATTCCACTGATATACATTCACCACTCTTCTAACGGTGTCATATTAAACTTACATCAGTGCTTGTTTTCTTGTAGTGTTCCCACAGCCTGCCTTCCAGATGAAATTACTGTACAATATATAACAGAATCAGAAAGAAAGGCGTCACTTGGAAGGATGAAATCGAGAAGAAATCAATACAAAAAAAGATAAATGTTCCTTCTCACAAGCAGCAGAATATCAAACAGAGGGAAGGTTTTTTCACGCCTTCTCTTTTCTGTTTGACTTATTGTGATCGTCTGAACAAAGCTATAAAAAGATATAATTCCAATACGATTAAACTTTTCATATTGATAGCCAAGTTTTTAAACCTTTATAGTACAACCTTATGTGCATTTTCTTGGAAAAAAATAAAGACTATTGTTAAAAAACCAGAATAAAGATACCGTGGGGATCT